ATAAACAAATCCCGTTTCGATTGTCCTTTAATTGGAAAAACTCCCTTGTACCCTCGCTGGTGCCGTAAAAAGGAGGTGTGACACAAACTAATCAGACGAAGACAAAAAGGAACAAAAGATAAGGCATCACTAGAATAGCAAAAGAACTAAGGACACTAGGAAGGAACAGGGTCATGGGTGAGAAGCAGAGGAGGGTCAAAGCTTTCACTAGGGTGGCAATCTGTTGGGCATGAGCCTCCTTATCCTTTCTAAGTTCTTCCCTGAGTTTCTTTGTTTTCTTTCTCAGCTTATTATTGTCTTCACGAAGCTTGATATTCTCTTCAATAGTCAACTCCAGCCTTTTCCTGAGCTCTGTAACCCTACTGCTCCCATGTAGAATAACAGATCATGTGGGTCCTCTAGCCTTGATCTCCTCATATCCACACTGCTTGAGGGTAACAACATTCAAAACGTCATTGTGATTTCCAAACTTAAGCTCAGGTAAGGCAATATTGAGCTTGTCAAACAGCTATGAAACCATAAGGCATATCATGCTTGGGTTTGGAAGCATTTGCAGCTCTTGCCATGTGCTGAATCATTAGACTAGGAAGATTGATAGGTCTACCAGTGTTAAGAAGCTCCATCACTTCCATGTCCAGTAGAGTAGCTTCATGCCTTATCTCAGACCTCTGAAGAATGCAGGAGTTGACAAACTAAAACAGTAATTTGTTGAAGGGAGTCATATCAGTCTAGTACACTTTTTAGGGAGCATCTAGTTCAAACTTTTGGGAGAACTTCCTGGTGACCACAATGCAGTGTCAACATCATTGTCTATAGTTGGCCACCTATTCTTCAAGTAATTGTCAAATCCCAAGGAAGAAATATTCAAAAACATCCCCAGTTCCTCAGTATCAAATTCCATCTCAAAGCCCCCTACTTTACTCTTGACTACATTCCCATCAAATTTAAAGTTTGTATAGAACTCCACCATAGCAGGAACACATACTGGGGGAAAAGCTTTGATAAACATGTGCTTCAACTCCTGTAGCTCAAGTTTTTCAACCAGTTGAGCCATCCTCTTCTTATCACTGTCTCCAAGAATCTTCCCATTTAACACTTTTCTGTTCCTGAACTCTGTGAGTCGATCAACTGCAGCTGGCACATTCTTTCTTGTCTTACCCCTACTGGCCCTTGCAGAAGAGGTAGCAGGTGTGGTGACTTTGTCACCCTTCCTCTTTGGTGTAGCAGACTTAGCTTGCAAGGCAGAGTCAGTCTCATCTTCTCCATCCACCTCAACATTGTGTTCCACAATTGAGACCTTCTTCTTTGGCTTATTTGCACTTCTAGACTCCTTAATGATTTGTGCATCAACAAACTTTCTTTTACTCCTTGTGAGAGAAGTTCTGGTAGGAGGAGCCACTTCTTTCCTTGTTGAGACAACTGACTTTTGTAGATTTCACATGGGTCTTTCTGGATTCTTCCCTACCTCAGATAGTGGCACATCATCTTCATCACTGCTAATTTCCTCATCTCCAATGAAAAGAGTTAACAGAGACCCAAGTTATTGAGACCTTGTCTCCGCACCAGTTTCTTGTGAAGGAGCTATGACAGTGTTTCCAATTGTCGTGGAACCTTCAGATTCCTCACTCGCATTCCCTTCTTCTTCCTCACTCTCTTCATCACCTCCTTCACTCTCAGTCACCTTTGCTTGATCCTCACCCCCACTTTCAAAGTCCTCTTCTTCTTCACTATAATTTTCGTTTTCTACAGAATCATTAGTCTGTTCAACTGTTTTATCATCTGTAACACTCTCCGTCTCATCTCTAGATTCTCCTTCATTCTCACTCTTCTCTTCTTCATTGTCTATGTTTTGAGCATCGTGTTCCTCATGACTGTTCACAACTTCTTCTTCTTTTTTTCCTCATCAACTTCTTCATCCTCAGTCCAACTAAAAAAAGGCTATCAGAAGCCTCTTTTTGCACAGGTTCTTTACTTCCTTCCCCCTCAACCACAGGCTCCACAGCCATAGCATCTACCTCTTTCCCAGACCCCCTACAACCTTTTCTACAGTGAATTCCTCTATTGGTGACTTCTCACTCGTGGGTGGGAGAGTATTTAGGGGTATAACATCTATGGCAGACACCAAAACATCTAATTTGGAGAGAGGATGTTGTACCTGATCAGTAGTAACTAGCACGGATTCCCCCAGAACCACAAATTCCTTGGCTATAATGTTACCCTGAGTAGCAACATCACGCAATTTCTTGATAGATTTTCTTGGAGTACCTTTGAATTTTGTGGACTTAGAGGTAATTTTCGCAGGAAGCTCAGGTGCATGGGTAGTTGTTTTTGGAGGAGGGGATACAATGGAGATGGGAAAGATAGGAGCAACATTAACACTAGGAACATGGAATGGTGATGTAAGTTTAGTGGAGGATATCAAAGGAGAAGGAGCATGTGTGGGTTCCCTTGATGGCTTGGTATTTTTCTTGGATTTGGGCTTCATGATTTTGGGGTTTTCTTCAGACTTGGTTGATGATTTAGCTTTAGAGGGTGTTTGACTGACTTTAGGCATGGTGATCAGATGAGAGACTCGAAGAAGAGAAAAGGAGAATTAGTTCTTGATAATTACTTTCAATTCTTGTTTAAGGTTTGAGAGAAATAGTGAGATGTGAGAAGCTGATCATAAGAGCCTTTTAAAGGCGTTACTCCTGATTTGACTGGAAGAGAGAAGGTGACCAAATTTGAATTCTAACGGGACTCTTATAACTGTCACTTTGACTGTTAGAATTTCGGGAGTAATTGATCTCTAATTACACTAGGGTTCATACTCTTTGACTAGAAGACAATTGGAAGTGATAAAAAGGGAATTAGAAATCTGAGTATAACAATAATTTTAGAATATAGATTCCTAGTGACTTAAGATAGTATGACACGTACCTGAGTCAAAGAACCAACTCCTTAGCAACTTCTTATTTTTTTCTGCAATAAAGCTTCAACATTTCATATTAGTATCATGCAACACAGTTAGCAGCCAGATTTTCCAAGCAAGTGTGTGAGCTTAATACAAGCACAGAGATGAATCAAACACATTGTGCTTAATTATCTACATCTTATTATGTATTTTCTAGCCAATTACTGGGGTTCAACTTAGTGGGAAGAGTTGATTAAACCTAATTCTAGTCTATTCCTTTCAAAGTGATCCCTACTGAAAGCTTTATTAAAAATATCAGCAATTTGATCTTTAGTTTTATAAAAGTTAGTTCAGATATTCCCTTTTTCAACATTGTCTCTAAGAAAGTGATGTCTAATGTCAATGTGCTTGGTTCTATTGTGATGACATGGATTGCTAGCAATGTTTTTAGCACTGGTGTTATCACAGAAAATGGGAACACAATCAACAAATATACCATAGTCCCTTAGTTGTTGTCTTATCTAGAGCAACTGAGCATAGCAGGATACTGCTGTCGCATATTCAACCTCAGCTGTAGATAAGGACACTGATTTTTTGCTTTTTAGTTCCCAAGACACCATACAAGAACCTAGAAAATGAGCTGTTCCTGAAGTACTTTTCCTGTCAACATGAAAACCTGCATAGTCAGCATCAATATAACCAGATAGATCAAATCTATACCCTCTGGAATACCATAGACAGAGGTCAGGAGTCCCCTTGAGATATCTTAGTATTCTTTTGATAGCCTTCAGGTGATATTCCTTGGGATTTGCCTGAAATCTTGCACATAGTCCCACACTGAACACTATATTAGGCCTGCTTGCTGTGAGGTACAACACTGACCCAATCATTCCTATATATAGTTTCTGTTCCACACTTTTTCATTCTTCATCAAGGTCCAACTTTGTCACAATTGCAATGGGTGTGTCAATAGACTTAGAAGAATCCATGTTGAACTTTTTCAACAGTTCCTTGATATATTTCTGCTAATGTATCATGGTTCCAGTGGGTGTTTGCTTGATTTACAGCCTCAGGAAGAATTCAATTTACCCATCATGCTCACTTCAAACTCATTTCCCACCATCTCAGCAAATTCCTTGGACATTGCTTCATTGGTATCCCCAAAGATATTGTCGTCCATATACACTTGCATAATCAGAATATTCTTCCCTCTGCTTCTTAGAAATAGAGTGTTGTCCACCTTTCCTCTTACAAAGTTGTTAGCTAATAGGAATTTTGAGAACTTTTCATACCAAGCTATTGGAGCCTGTTTCAATCCATAAAGAGCTTTATCCAGTTTGAACACATAGTCAGGAAATTCTTCACTTTCAAATCCAGGACGTTGTTTGACAAACACTTCCTCCTTTAGATAACCATTCAAAAAGGCACTTTTTACATCCATCTAATATAAAGTAAACTCCGTGTGGGCAGCAAAGGCTATCATCATTCTTATAGCCTCCATTCTTGCCACAGGTGCAAATGTCTCATCATAGTCAATGTCCTCCTCTTGATTGTATCCGTGAACTACCAGCCTGGCCTTATTTCTTGTGATATTTCCTTGTTCATCAAATTTATTTCTGAACTTCTATCTGGTACTTATGATAGTTCTATTCTTAGGTCTGTACCAGGTGCTAGACCTAGCTTCTCTCAAACTGATTTAGCTCCTCTTGCATGGCTATGATCCAGTCTGGATCCTTTAGAGCTTCTTTGATGGTCTTAGGTTCAACCTGTGATAGGAATACTGTGAGTGCACATAGATTTCTTAGAGAAGACCTGGTTTGCACCCCTGCATTTGGATCAGAGATGATATTCTCAAGAGGATATGAGCTTTGATGCTTGCATGGTCTGATCTGTATACCCAAAGAACATTCACCCGAGGAGTGAACCAAAGGAGCAGGTTCAGTAGGTGTGACTTCATTAGTCTGGTCAGTAGTTAGAGTAATTCTTTTTTCTTCTTGTTCCTCAGGATCACTATCAATTTCCTTGTGTTTTTCAGATCCATCTTCATCAAATTCCTTCGTATCTCCATCACCAGCGAGTCCCATCACATAATCTTCATCCTGTAGACCTTTCTCAACCAAATTGTTAGATTCATAAAAAATAACATGAATATTTTCTTCCACACACATAGTTCTTTTATTAAAAACCTTATAGACCTTACTATGTGGAGAGTAATCCAAGAAAATTCCCTCATCACTTCTGTCATCAAACTTACCTCGAGATTCTTTCTCATTATTCTACACAAAACATTTGCACCCAAAGGCTCTCAGGTGAGTGATGTTGGGTTTTCTTCCTCGAAGCAGCTCATATGGATTTTTCTCAAGAATGGATCTGACCATGCATCTATTTAGCAAGTAGCAAGCAGTATTGATTGCCTGTAAGGCCCCATGAAATCTTGTACTCAAAACCGGGTAGCTCGTGATGCCAAGTCCCGAATATATGTTAGGAATGTGTAAAATTAAGCGAGCCGCGGTTCGGACCCTTTTGGTACTGATCTATGTTATAAAAAGTCAAGAAATACTGTTTTCCAGGAAATGCAATTCTGCGGTCGAGAATGCGATCGCATACAGATATGCGGACCGCATAATCGCCGCAAAGTGAGTCAGTGTGTTGGTCGAATTGGAGGTTAAATATGCGGTACAATATGCGATCGCATAACGGATATGCGGACTGCATAGTCGTCGCATATTTCCCTTGGGATTTTGTGAGAGGCAGTTCTGCGGTGCACTATGCGACTGCATAATGGGTATGCGGACCGCATTTACCACATACCCAGGCAGTGTGTTAAGATTTTGGAAGCACTTTTGCGGTCCATTTTGTGGACCGCATTTCCACTCTGCGATCGCAAAGTGCGATCGCATACCTAACTCGGGCTCCTATTTTTCTAAATTTTAAACCCGACCCCTTCTTCAATAAAACACCCCAACCCCTTATTTTAACATATTTTCTGAACAAAACTAGAGAGATGGAAGAGAGAATTATTGAGGGATAAAGTCCTACCTTCATCAATTTGATTCTTCAAAGTCACTCGGGCCGGAGAATTTCAAGCAATTGTCTTCATCTCCGTTTTTGCAGGTAAAATCCCCAACCCTTTTTCATTGTTTTCAGATTTAAACAAAAAGGGGGATTCTTATGCGTTAATTCTTGAAAATGGAAGTTGAGATACACATGCATGTCCTTTAAAACCTAGAATCTAGTAAGAGGAATTGGGTAGAACAAAAGATTTGCAAAAGAGGGGTTGATAACCTAAGTAAGTTCGGGCTGAGTTTGTGAACTTCAATTCTAAGTTATATGTGTTAACTTGCGAACTAGATTGACGGTACTAGGTTGTTGGTGAATTGGAAATAGAAGAAAAAAGGGGGGGAGGGAATTCGACTCCAGGTATGTATTGCTAACTTTAACCTTTGTAAAGTCACCTTGTTTGGTGTATGAGTAATTGGTATGTGTTACTTATGTTGACTATTTGCGAATTCTTGTGATTAATATGCCTTTAATGTTGTTGGTTAAGTCTCCCGATATAATGGTGTAAGTAAATAGCAACAAACCAAGTGTGTGTGTGTGTGAATGTGTTTATGGGGTAAGAGCTGTGTAAAAAATAATGGAAAGAAATCATAATTGATGCGATTGAAACTACTGTGGTAATATCATACGTGACTTGTCGCGGGCAATTATCATTGTGACATAAATTGTATACGGGTTGTTGCATATGATGGAAACGGTATTGACGTTTATGAAAATTCTTTGTGAATTATTGTTATTGTCGTATGAAATGTGATTGTCCGGTGGGATTGGGTTGCACGCCGCAATACAAAGTTATAAGGTGTGGGTTGTGGTGATAAGGGTGGCCGAGGTAATAAGGGTGGAAAAGTGATCGAAATCACTATTGAAATAAAAATATGTGAAAGTTGTGAAATCATTGATGTGATGAAATAATGTTGAAAGGGGAAAAAGAGAGATTGTGGAGTTTGTTTGGCTTTGGTTGTTCCTTTCATGTGCATTTGATTGTTGATTCTATTACTATTTGTTATCTGTGTATTTCTTGATTTTACTTGGGGTAAAGTTTGTTCATACATA